GTGCCGGATTAAACGAGCGCGGGGCCTGTTACATATGTTATAAAGGGGTCCTAAATGTTTTTAAACACACATTTTCACTTGCACAGTAAAGTAATTGTATTTTTTATTTGCTATACAGCCAGATAATACGACAAATCGCTAACCTTAAACACCCAGTCGTTCGTAAAAGTTGAAGGCGGTATAGTACTACAGTAATAGAGCAAGTACAGAATCACTGAACCGGAATTGATATCTTGAAAGCATTTAGCGCGGGGCCCTTGAAAGTGCGTGTAGTAGCTGCTACTACACGTGTAGTAGCAGCTACTACATATGTAGCTACTACACGTGTGTAGCTACTACACACGTGTAGTAGCTACTTTTGCTACTAGGATCATCCCGCACTGACAGACGCACCTCGCGATACTGCGATCCAACAGCACTCTTCGACGCGGACTGATTCCGTCATGACTCCATCTCCTCGCGAGTCGTTCGCTCAGCCCATCGCCGAGCTGGTGGCGACGATAGTTGATGACTTCGGTTCACTTGTCGAATCAATTGAGGCGTTTTGCAATTTGAGACGCGGGTGTCTGAAATCTGAATCCACAGACGCGCTAAATACACATCGACGGCACGTGCCGAGCACAGCGGAACAATTGTCTACTCCGTGCGTCTGCAGTAAATAATTGAGTTAAGTGAGAGAGCCCAACAATAAGTAAAAAGCAAACCCATTCTGTCTCCACGTACGGATGCACAATTAAGTGGAGTCCATCAGGCCATCGGCTGGCCAGGACAATGCCATCCAGCGGCAGACGGTCGCTTTAGCAAGCCAACTCTGGGTGCGGTTTCAACGTTCTGGGTCTCGTCGGCCTCGTTAAACGAGTTGCGCCTGCAATGAGCGATAACCATCGGCTCGAATGCAAGCCGCCACGTGGGATCGTTCCTTCGATGAATGGCCCACGGCTTAAGGCGATGCCTTCATCCAGCAGTGGATCTATTATGGCCAATAAACAAAATAGATTTGGGGTGACATCCAAAGACATGTTCGCTTTGTGTTTTAAATTGTTAGACCAGACGCAGCCTGTGGATGATATCGGCGTGCAAGCTTTGGCGCTGTGCTCAATACCGAGCCTTGATCTGACGCTGATGATTTGCAGTGTGGAGGAGCGGCTTGCTAGCAGTCATGCAACAACGAGGCAGAGGCTGCGTCAACACCGCTGATCTCTCTGCATGTAGCTCTGAAACACCGTCATACTTTAACCACTAAATAAGCTGCACGTCCTGATGCCCGAAACGCGTGGCTTGCAAACAAACACCTCCCCACATGATGACGTGTTGTTTACTCGAGAAATAATAATTATTAGGGCTGTAATGAGCGGCATATTTGAACAAGGTCACGTGATAGGGCCTCTATTCTCTGTTGGCCTCGGTTTAATGCTTCACCTGAGGCCTTTTAGTGATCTGCATCTCAATTGCACCTCCTCCCACCTCCCCCCAACCACTCGCTCTGCCACTGCAGCACAGTGGGGAGTGGGTGGGGTGGGGTGTTGACTGGCGACAATTATCGTCTGGCCCACGCGAATTCGTGAATGGGCTCGGACCAGCCGTGGCAGGTTTCATGCTGCCTCAATGACCCCCCCCCCCACTAACCCCCCCCCCCCGGCTGGCACGGTTAAGGGCAGCCAGTCGCGTGAGGGCTCCCACATTCTCCGGCCAACGCGTTTCCCTGATCACTTGGGGGTGGAGGGCCATCAGAATCTCACGTCCCTGCAGCCCACCACAGATATCTCCAGGGTGGGTCCAGGGCACCACCACGGTCAGCATTTATTCTCTGCCGAGCGCCGCGCCGTGCGGACAAATCCAGCGGTTCGCGGTGTGATTCGTGACATGGACGCGGCGAGAGAGCGCGGCAGCGCGTGCGCTCCCGTTATCCTGGTCGTCAGCCCTCACTGCTGCTGCTGTGGCCGCTGTTGCTGCTGCTGCTGCAGCCGCCGCCGCTGCTGCTGCTGCAGAAGAAGACTCGAGTGGGTGAGTGGCTCGTACCCGCTGTGGGCGTCTCGCCAGGCTTGTTGTTGCGTGAATTGTAATCATTATTATTATTGATCGTTCTGGGTCTGCCCTGCATCAGCGTCTGCGGTCCCCCTCTCGTACTATTTGACCGCAGCGTGAAGAACGTCTGAGCCAAAGAGCTACCGACGTTTAGGCAGAGGACAAAGGGAGGAAGGTCTAGGAGCAGAAACACAGAGTTGACGTGCCAGCAATATTGTTTGGCTAAGTGGCGCTTGTTTGCAGATTGCCCAACTCCGTGTCGGAAGGTCGCGAGTTTGACTCAGCACGTCGTCATCCTCGTCTCTCTGGGGTCGAGAGGAAGGGTGCCACTGTGTGAGGAGCTGGCCGTGGTTGTTGAGTGAATGCACTGGCTCCCAATGTGGGAATGTGGAATTGACGCATGTCGATTTGGTGCTCACACACGGGCTGAACGGATTTCAGTCGACAGATCGATGCGTCGTCATTACACCGACAAAATGATCTTCGGTCATTCTCTGAGCTCGACTCTCTCTGTTCTGAATAATGGTCATTGCCCGAAGCGTCAGCCTGCTGTGTATATTTCTCTGGCGACGCAGTGCCAATGATTAAGCTTGTGCTGGATGCTGGTATCATATACAAAGACAACGTTCCTCCCCTGTAGCCTTTAACAGAGTTTTGGGGCAAGTGTTGTTAGTGAGCACCTATTAAGACCAGCACGGCACACGGGGGCATGGGTGGCCACCACGACGCCACACCGGGTACCCATTTGAGGCCGAGCCGACCTAGGGAAGGCCCAGGACCCGTTCAGATATTCGTCACCGACGTTAGCGGGAATCGCATTCCGGTCGCCGGGATCTAACCGCTCGTCTACTACTCTCTTACGGGGGCATCTCACACACGTACACACACAGCTGTGTGTGTGTCCACGCACAGCTGTGTGTGTACGGCACTCAAGGTTTAATTGAACGGGACCAGGTAATGGAGAGGGCAGGTTGGCAGAAAATCCAGAAACATGACCCTAATCCTTTACGCATTAAACTAAGCGAAATGTATTTACATTATCTGTCATTGTAATTTCTCAACATTTAATTAAATACATTTGAGCGTCACGTAGGTCAGTTGAATGTTCTTCTCGGCATGCAAACAGCCGATAAGTTCAGATGAGCGATGGCTTCCGGAGTGGTTGAGTGACAGGGCGACGTGATAGCGTATGACGCGTGTGTTGTTCTGTGTTTGACCAAGAGGTATCTTCATAGTGTGTAGGGAATATCATGAAACACCCACAGTGTCTTGATTTAAAGCTTTCGTGACTGCAGGGATTCATATTCTTGGTTCCCTTCTATGCGACTTTACCGAAAGAACCAAGAATATGTACCCACAGTGTCGTTTACAACAGTGCTATCTATGGTGGCGAGATGTTAACTACCTCGCCTGATATACAGGACGTCGTGAGTTCGATTTCTGTATATTTGGAGTTTGCATGTTCTCCCCGCAGTCGCATGGACAATCAACTAAAGCGTGAGAGCCTTCTCACCGCCTCCAGTAAAAACAGGTCGCCTTTGATTTCCTAATGAAGGTTATTAGCCCAGCGCTACGACACCTCAATGTGACCTTCCAGTCGTGCCGGACATTTATTTCTGGATGTTTTTCAGCCACGGCACAATTTTAAAAGCCAACCCTCTCCTCCCCCCCCCCCCCCCTGCTTTGCCACCCTCTGCACAACTTATCGCAGCCAAGCCACGGCTTTATGACGCTGTAAAAAAAGTGGAATTTACATTTTTCCAAGGTGAACCGATCGTAACACGCAACAAAAAAACACCGCACCAAAATAGTATATATATTTTTTCAGATGAAGCTTCCGTGCATTCGTGTCTTGTTGATGATGCAGTGCACGTGCAAATGGAATCAGAACCTTTGTTTGGACTGCAGGAGGAGGAAGGAGGAGGAATCTGAAGAGCTATGAAGCTCTTTTTCACAGATGTCCAGTAAGGGCACGGGGGTCAGCGAGTTGCAACAACAAACGATACAAAAAAAAAACGATCGGAGTGCAAATTGAGAAACGGTAAGCAAGTCACGAAAAATAAATAAGTAATAACATATATGGGCTTGTTGAACTTCTTTCACACCGTACGTAGCCAACCGTGCTAATTGGAGGAGTACAGAATATAAATAGGGCTAGGTGAACTAGCGGACATGGGCAGTACACGGTGGCGCTGTCTTGGATAATCGTTAATGGTCAAGGGTAATAAAGGAGTGGCAGCCAAGGAATGGAACGAATTGGACGAGTGGGCGTGCACAGGGGAGATGGAGTGATGAAATCAGTTCGTGTGCGGATGCCGGCTGGATCACAACCTTCGCAGGATCGCGAGAGGTGGCGACGGTGGAGACTTTGCGGAGGCCTTCATCCAGCAGTGGATCGATCATGGCTGATGTAGATGATGATGATGATGAACATAAGTGCACGCAGAATAAAAACACAGATGGTGGATTACAGCGCAGTGTAGGAGGCCACAGGGTGAGCTCACAAATGAGTCGATGTAGCTCAATGGATGAACAACAAGGGTATGAATGTGATGCTTCTAATGACAACGTTGGAGCTGTGATGTCTACTGTGATGATGATGGTGGTGATGGTAGTTGTGGTGATAATGATGATGGTGATTATTGATGACAGACGATGATGATGTGTACAATAGAACTTCAACAAGGGAGATGAGAGGTTTGTGGATGGGACAATGGACAGATGTGCTGGTGGGACAGATCCGGTGTGCTGGTCGAGTGAGGGACAGGTTTGTGGATGGGACATTGGACAGATGTGCTGGTGATACTGTGGCCAGGTGCAATGTGGTCGGTGGTGCTGTTGATGGGCGGTGACGTGGCCGGGCGGTGGTGCAGTCCTCGGTGAGACTTTCGTGGTTGAAATAAAGTTTCATATTTATTCTTAACGACGCACGTGTCACGTGGCCCGCGTGGTTTGCTCTGCTGCCGCCACCACAGGGGGTGAAGCCTGCGAGCTTCGACAAGGTGGCCTTCCCCGAGGTGAAGGAGATCATCGAAGGATGCATCCGCAAGACCAGCGACGAGCGGTAACGCGCACACCGGCAAGCCTAGACGCTCGCGCGCATGCCAGTGGGGCACTGCGGTGGCCAGGAGATGTGATCTCCCCGGCATGGAGTGCCGGAGCGCGTGGGTTCGATCTCGGATCCCCTGACGATGCCTCCTTTAATATCACAAATCTAGCTGTCCGCCTGATGATGCTAGTTGTAATTACTTCGAGATTTGAAGTTTTCGTGACTGCAAGGATCCATACTCTTTGGGTTTTTTCGGTAAAGTCACGTAGGTAAAAAATAATAAAATACTGTAATTACTGGCGAAACGTCGTACTTGAATTGTAAATATTCTGGGTGTGCTCTCTAACACGCAGGTGTGCTGTACTAGTAACGAATTGGCATGTTTTGTTTACGTGACAAGCCTTACTGATTGGCAGGTTTAACGGCACATTTATATTGGTTTAACAGGTAGGCTTTCGCGACCAATATTATTCGTAATGAAGGTTTTTGGGTTAGATCGCTTAAGTATAGATGTGTCGTAGTCCTCCACCACCCAATGACGCTGGATGTAATTGCCAGCGAAACGTCGTATTCAAATTGTAAATGTTGTGGATTTACTCTCCAACACACCGGTGGGCTGTAGTAGTTAATTAATTGGCGCGTTGTTTACGTGACAAACCTTACTGGCTGTGTCGGGTGGTGGAGGGTTACGGCACATTTATACTTACGCGATCTTACCCAAACACCTCTGTTATGGGTGTCTATTCCGAGTCCGCGTGTTCTCTCTTTCTCACCACGATGTTCGTGTTGATCATTCTCTCTGGTATTACCACCATCCACATTTAAAAAGAACACGCGTCTAGAGCAGTGCTCTTCATTGCAAGGCTCGCGGGCCACTGGCGGTCCCTGGTGGCCTCTACTGTGGCCCCCGACAATACACGCAATGTGAAAACCACACCCCAGCGTTGTGCTGTCAAACCGAGCGGATGTGTGGCGGCCCTCACACTGTAGTCTTTTTGGCGAAAGTGGCCCCGCTCTGAAAATTAGTGAAGAACGCCGCTTGAGATGATTTGTCTGCTACTATACATTCCCGCATGTGACGATGTCGGCCACTTTAAAGAGCTGCCACGTATGGCCAGGTCGCTCCTGAACAAGAGTGAACAAGAGCGCATCGCTCAGTGGGCTCTACACGGTTAAATAAAACAGTGAGTCACGTTGCGGGGAGTCTTCTTTACGCAGCCTCTGCTGAACGATTCGCTCTTCCACATTGACCACACGTGGTTTGCGAGACGTGGGAGTACCCACACTGTGCCCCACCGCAGGCTACCTGTGGATCGACAAACTGCGTGCGGCTCGGCCAATCGGATGCGTTGGGACTGCGTGTGGCGTTGAGTTGCGCAATCCCGCACGGGCTGCACAACTTCCTCGTATCATTTCAAATGATGCCACGCTTGTGAAAAAAATCAGCTGCCAAACTAATTACAATTTTTGAACTTCAGTCGTGCTACTTATCATGACGAGCTATTAGAATTGTTTGTTTATTCGCAGCAACTGACTTCGAGTTGAAATATCCACACCCCCCGATTCGCACGGTCGGCTACGTACGGTGCGAAAGAAAGTTGAGCGTGCATCGAAACAAATTTGGTGCCCTGCATGTGTCATCCCCCCCGTGCATGCGCCCCTTTCCCCCCGCGCAGCTTCTCCATCAAGGACCTGCTGGCGCACGCGTTCTTCGCGGAGGACACGGGCGTGCGCGTGGAGCTGGCGGAGGAGGACGACGGCGAGCGGAGGACCATCAAGCTGTGGCTGCGCGTGGAGGACTCGCGCAAGCTGCGGGGCCGTTACCGCGACAACGAGGCCGTCGAGTTCAGCTTCGACCTCGACTTTGACATCCCGGAGCAGGTGGCCCAGGAGATGGTGAGAAGCCGCGTGCGGAGAGACGTGCAGGGAGACGTGGGGGAGACGCGCGGGAGACGCGGGGAGACGCGGGGGGAGACGCGGGGGGAGACGCGGGGAAAACACCGCGGGGAGACGTCGTTACGGGGAGCGGAGACGGGGGGCACTGCGATGTCGAGACGTTGACTACATTGACTGGTATACAGGAGGTCGTCGGTTCCATCCCGATCCTGACGGCTGTATATTTGGAGTTTGTATGTTCTCGCCGTGGTCGCGGGAATTTTTCTCCGCGTCCTCTGGTTTTTCCCTCCACATATAGAAACATGCGTTTCGAGTACTTGGCTGCTTTAAACGTGTACATGATAGGCCACATAATTGAACTATTATTTGTAGCCAGGTCGCTTATGAAAAAGAGTTATATAGCTCAGTGGGCCTTACTTGTGGAGAGATTTAAGAGACCAACTTCTTTCCCACCGTACGTAGCCAACTGTGCTCATTGGAGGTGCGGGGGAAGGCGAAACAAACTAAACACAAAAATCAGTTCTAAAAAAAAAATAGTTTTCAACCCAGACGATTTAAAAGTGCATAGCTCCAGTGGCTTGCTATCATTGGAAGGAGGAGCGTTGCACGCGGCCGCTGAAGCGCGTCTGAAAGCGCCGCGCAACGCGGCGACGACCATGAGATGGCCACCCAAAAGCCTCCGCCGCTCCTGCGAGGACGAAACCGGAGTCCGCGTGACGGGTTACGCTCCTTGACGAGAACGGCGAAGGCTTATCGCCGTTCATTCGTGGCGAGCACTTCGCGCGCGCTACGAGCGCGGCGACCCCCATAGCAACGCGTTCGTTTCGGCGACCGGGAGCCGAAGGCGGACTCGGCGAGCACCGGACGGCGCCTTTCTGTGCGACCCCGCGGCAGGTCGAGTCGAGCATCATCCACGAGAGCGACCTGAAGACGGTCGCCAAGGCGATCAGGGACCGCGTGACCCTGCTGCGGAGCAAGCGCGACGAGCTGGAGAAGGCGCGCCGGGAGAAGGCGCGGGGCGAGGCCGAGGAGGAGGAGCAGCAGCAGCAGCAGCAGGAGCTGCGGCAGAGGGAGGCCGATGCCCACGCCCGCGATGCCTGGCTCGCCGGCCGGGCCTCCGCCCTGTCCTCGCCACCGGCCGCCAGGACGCCGGCGGGAGATTTCGCGCTCGGCCCATCGGCCGAGGCGGACGAACCGGAGGCCGATCGTTACCGGGACGCGGCGCTGACGCCGTCGTGTAAGTTCTGCGGTGGCCGTCGGTTGTCGACGTACGGTGTCAAATGAGTTCAACTTGCATTTACGTACAAGGCCCTCGTTTTAAGCTGCGTGCGGTGGTCGCTGGCCACGGGCTGGCAAAGCTTTGGAGTGGCACCAACCCCTTTACCGTCGTTGCCACCACCACCACCATCATCACCAGCAGCAGCCATTGTCTCTCTACTGCTGATGAGTGATTACGTCGTGGGACGTCAATTGTCAATGTTAGTTTACAGTTATTTCGTGAACATTTTTATCAGGTATTGCACTTCTTAAGGGAAATGATACGAACCTCGATGGTTGTGATGCGATGGTCTTTTGCTAATTGGACGACACGAATATCGCGGTCCTTACGTCACACAATCACGTATCGTAGTGCTGCCCTGGTGTGTCCAGGCGTCTTTCACGGATTTTGATGAATAAACGACCTCCTCCTCTGTGGAGGAGGCTCGTGAGGGATGCTGCTGGGTCGTTGGAGGCAGTCGCCCTCCAACAACAACGGAGGAACAATGCTCACAATAACGAGCGGAGCGCCGGACGGCTTATACGCAGACAGTTGGCACAGTGGGGAGCAAAGGTGGTGCATCTGTCAGTCATCTCAGTCAGTCAACCCACGGCACCTGCTGGGTCTATCCGTGACCTCCTGTCAGTGAGCCTTCGACACTTCATTTGGCCTTAAAGCGAACCGGATCAACGACCGGCATCGTTGATTTCGTCTGCCTGTGTGCACGTCTGTCTGTCCACCCGTCCCCCTGCACGCTCACCCTCACGCTCTCTCCCGCTCTCTCTCTCCCACTCTCTCTCTCCCGCTCTCTCTCTCCCGCTCTCTCTCTGTCTCGCGGCTGGCGGCCCCGCAGACGGCCGCGCCGACAGCGGCCGTGGCTCCTCGTGCCACACGGACACGCAGGGCAGCCAACAGGGCCTGGCGCGCGCCCCCATCCCCGACGCGTTCGCGTCCACGCCGTCGTCCACGCCCGCCACACCGTCGTCCGCGCCCCCCACCACGCCGTCGGGGCCCCAGGCGTCGCCGGGGCCGCAGGTGTCGCCGCCCCTCTCCTCGCTGCCGTACCTCCGGCAGCAAATGGTGAGTCCTGCCCCCTGGCTGACGGTGGGCGGCCGATGTAAAATTCCTTCGAGGGCCACCGAACGACGTCCTTCTTGGTTTTGGCCAGGCTCAGAGAGGCTGCCCCCTTGACCGTTGCCGGTCTGTCACCTCCGATCAGCAGCGCTTGGCTGCGTACGGCACGAAAATGAAGTTCAAGTGCAGTTCAACTCACGGTGGGGGGGCGATGCGATGGTCGGTCGGCCGGCACTTCCCAACCTGGTGCTCCGTGAGGCCGCTGCTGCTACGGGGGGGGGGGGGGGGGGGGGGATCTGCGGAAAATAACAAAATTAAAAATATTTAATAGCAATCATTTCCTCGCCAAGGAAATGTACAATTTCAAAACGGATATGAGCATGTGGTGGCCCGCAAAATGTTTGGAGGTTCGAAAGGTTGGGAACCGCTGTGCTCGGCGATGCGAGTAGTGGGCGGGGCTACCTGGGCAGTGGGCGGGGCTACCAGAGTAGTGGGCGGGGCTATACGAGCAGTGGGCGTGGCTACTTGGGCAGTGGGCGGGGTTACCTGGACAGTGGGCGGGGCTACCTGGACAGTGGGCGGGGCTACCAGAGTAGTGGGCGGGGCTACCTAGGCAGTGGGCGGGGCTATACGAGCAGTGGGCGTGGCTACCTGGACAGTGGGCGGGGCTACCTGGACAGTGGGCGGGGCTACCAGAGTAGTGGGCGGGGCTATACGAGCAGTGGGCGGGGCTACCTGCAGGGTAAGTGGGCCCTATGAGCAGTGGCGGTATTATTTTAGACAGCGCACTTTAACCGTCTTAACGGCTTCACACGACAACCAGTTCAGGTAGTAAGCCAAAGAGTTTATTTTAACGAAGTGTTGCATTTATATTTTTGGAATGACTTTGCTCGTCGAGATGCTAGTTATATCGTTAAACAACTGTGGAATTGTATCGATGATCGAGGTGTTTTGTGTTAGATCGCGTAACTATATTCTTTATTTTTATTTTATTTTTAGTTTACTTTTATTAATTTTTACCTACTTGACTTTACCGAAAAAACCTAAGAATATAACTATATCCTTCACCAACTGGTAATGGACCTGACTGGCTCACAAGTGACGACATCACATCTCTTGCTCTGGCTGTCCCACTGATGATGCCGGTTGTAATTACTGGCACAACGTCGAACTCCAATTGTAAATGTTGTTGTGGGTTTACTCTCCAACACACCGGTGTGCTGTACTAGTAACGAATTGGCCACGTTCTGTTTTCATGACAAACCTTACTAATTGGCTGTGTCGGGTGGTGGCGGGTTTAACGACACATTTATATATATTCACGCGATCCAAACCAAAAACCTCTGTTATTGATAATATTGGTCGGAAAGCCTACATGTCAAAGTAATTGTGGAATTAACTTTTTAAAACTTGTTTATCCTTCGCCGTTGAATGTGCTGTTGTTGTTGCTGCGGGGTTGTGGTTTTGTGTACCGCGCGTGCCCGGCTTGCGTAACCTGCACGTCACGAGACCGCTTGGCCGCTTGATCGCTTGATCGCTTGATCGCTTGACTCACCGCGGTCAATCCCACCCACAGTGCTTCTTGCTAATCCCACCTGCGACGACTCCCCCGTGAGAGCGCTTTAACCCCGCAACTAATGACAATCTACAACAACCAAACCAAACAAACCAAATGTACGATCTCGGCCAACCGCCCGGCCGCCGCCGACTAACACCGAGGAATGAAGACCCACCCGAAGGAGAAGAAGGAGACTGGACGATCGCGCACAGAAGACGGAAGACGGGTGAAACCGTCACGGTCGACGGCTCTGGATGAGTGGCGTCCGCCACCTTGCGAGTGCCCCCTTCCTGTCCCTGAGAATCCCGCGTCCTTCCCCTCTTCCCCACCCCACACCCGTCGCTTGGTTTGCGATTCCTCTCCGCCCGCCTCTTTGTCGTGACGGTGGCTCAAAAATTCGGGGGCAGCTTTTCACGTCCCGGTTTTGATTTGTCCAATGTGCAATTTTTGGTTATTTTTTTTCTTCCTGCCAAATTCCACTGCTTTTGGCTAAGCCCGGCCAAAAAATTGCTCTCCGACGCATTTTCGGGTCGCGCCGCGTGTTTTTCGGCACGATGTCCGACGTTTCGCCCCACGTGCGATGGGAGCTGCTTTAGGAAACCCCGGGGGCGATGGTTTCGCAGCGTAGTTTCCATTAGACGGCAAAACGAAAATAACGAATGCGCACTCGCAAAACGCGGACGCTTGGTCCGGGCACGGAATATATAAACGGGGCGATTAAAGTGCCTGCAAATCTTTAATTCCGTTGGACACTTTGTCGAAAATGCGCCAACGCCTCCGTCGCCAACTCTGGGGCATCGCCAAGACGATGCGTTTTGGCCAAATTCAACTCATCGTGAAACTCGCCCTGCAGAGTTTCACGATTGAGCATCGGTCCACCTCGACCCGACACGGCTTTAGCAACGTCATTTACGATCAGTTAACGTCCGCCAAACAACAACTAACCGTACCCACGGCCATGGCGTTACCTTTAACAGTCACGTCATGCAAGGTGGTTAGCTCAGCGTTAACGCTTGCGGGCGATGCGATTGTAGTTGTCCGAGTCTCTTGAGTTCACCAGTGGCGCTCCCGTCTGCCTGGTGTGCCTCTGTTGTGTTTGTCCTTCCCTCTCCCGTCCCTCTTGTGTCTCCCTCCATTCCCTGTCTCCCGCCTGCGTTTCCCTTCCCCTCTCTCTCTCCCCTCTCTCCGTCTCTGTTTTCATCACCTCGCCTTTCTCCTCCCGCACCTCCTCTACTTCCACGCTTTCCAGCTCTCTCACCGCCCTTCACTCTGCATTCTTTCTCGGATTCGATCCCTCCTCGCCTCTTGTCTCGTCCCTGCTCCTCCTCTTCCCCTCTTTCCCTCCCCTCCTCCCCTCATTCCCCATTCCCCATTCCCACTTCTCAGCCTCAGCGCCGACACAGCCTCTCCGTGTGCCTCCTCCACCCCGGCGCGGCCAGCCGACCGTCGAGCCCTCGCTCTCCCTCCCCGCCCCCCTGCCCATCCCCCCTGCTCCCCCTCCACCAGCTGCCGCACTTCCCATCCCCTCCATCGCCGCAACCTCCTCCTCCTCACCACCATCATCATTACCATCATCACCTTCACCCTGGCAGCGCCGTTGCCGCAGCGGCGGCGGCGGCCCCCCTCCACGCCCGGACCCCCGGCGGGCGCCGCCTCTCGCTCACAGAGGACCTGGCGCGAGCTCTCGACCTCTTGCTGCCCATGCGCAGCGGCGGCGCCAGCGGCGGCGCCAGCGGCGCCACTAGCGGAGCCCCTTCGGGGCCGGGCTCGCGGTGCGACTCGCCGGTGCCGCGCGGTCGGCGGTACAGCCTCCCCGCGCTCGCTCTCTCCGCCGTACGTCCGCCGTTAGAGACCCGAGCCGGAGGCGAGCGGGGGCGGTGCTGGCCCGGAGCACGAGGGATGACGCCGTTTAAACGCCTGACCCTGTGGTTTCCCTTGAAGCCACCTGTGCTCAGAGGCATCGGTCACAGACGTTCTGTTGCGCCGTCGCAGACAGCGCGGAGAGCGACACCCGCGGAACGAGCGCCCGTGCATTTCCACGCCACCACTGGAAATGAGACTAATTGATGAGCAATTCTTCAAATGAAATTAATTAAATTCGTCATGGTACATGCGCACAATTGCGCTTTTAAGAATCAATTAAATGCGCGTGACGCAAAATTAAATGCTAATATTTCTCTAGACTAATTGAGCAAACAACACGGATTGTGTGATGTATGTCATACAGACAATGGCAGAAAAGTCTCTTCTCTTAACTAATTGGTGACACTGAATTGGACGATTCACTCATTAGGGAGGTAGATCACTGCATTCCTACCAGTTATTTAATTCATTATATCGTGATTGTATAAGCAGTAGCTGTTATACGGATAATAACCGGCCCCCCACCATAAGAACGTGGAATTTATACCACTAACTCAGGGCAGTACAAAGCAGACAAGCACCGCTCCACGCTCATTAGACATTGTGCAATTTGCCATGTTTATGTGTACATATGTATATACAATTCTATATATGCATATGGATGTGTATGCATATTTTTCTATGCATACACACACAAATGGTCCAATGTAAAACATTTGAACGACGCTACTTTAATTGAACGCTCAATGTCACACCCACACATTGCTCTCAATAACCAATGACAGGACCATCGGGGCAAATGATGATGCGCTAATCATGTCCTAACCGCAGTGCATTTGCTATTGGCGCCATTCCTACATCTACAGGGCTATCACACGGGCGATGTGTTTCGCAGACGGGTAGGAGTCTGGAGTAGGGGTGGCGATGTTATCTCCCTCGCCTAGTACGCAGGTGGTCACGGGTTCGTTCCCGGACCCTGACGACGTTCTCTCTCCCCGTGGTGGTCGCGTGGATTTTTCTCCGGGTTCCTTCCGGTTCTTGCCCCACCCTCACCTCCCCAAATTTAGAAAGACGCCCTTAGATTATATTCTGCTATCGCTGTAAATTCCCACACGTGACGATAAAGCCACCTCGATGAGCTAACACGTGCCAGTTTGACTGAGCGAGGACGAGCAGCTCGGTGGGCACTGCTACCGTTTCGAAGTAAAGAGCCGGTACATCGTCCAGGACTAAGCGAGCCTTCGCGAACGTCTTGGGAAGGCATCACCGCCGCCGGTAGCCGGTGGTGCCGCTGTCGGGGGGTTTTGAGCTGGCGAGCCGCGTGGCAGTGAACCGCGCAACAAAACCCACCGGGGTCACCGACGTTCAGTGCCCTCCCCCGCTTTGATCTCCCGCGCGACACGCATGGCGCACGCGGTGCCCCGCACGCGCAGCATGGCTCACGGCCCCTGCCTCCCGGAGGCTCCGGCCTCGCGGCGCCGCCGAACTGCGGAGCTCGGTTTCCCTGCTCGGCGCGGGCGGGAGCGCACGACGCACGCGACCTCGCCTCCCGCTCGTGTTTTGTTTGCTGTGAACGTCCTTGGACCTTCGTGCTTCTCATCCACCAATGTTCTGCGTCTTCTCCGATCTCCTGTTGTGTGCGTGCGTGCGTGCGTTCGGTCGCCGTTTGTGCCGCCCCTTGAGCGTTGTCCCGTTCTCTCTTGTGGACGCAGACCAGACACCTGCCGGTCGCCGCACATTGCGCGGGCGACGGCGCCGCTCTCTCGTTCAGCTCCATTCCCGAACGGCCGAGCGCCGGGCCGCCCCGCTCTCCATTCCATCTGCACTCCCCCTCCAGCCCCCCCCCCGGCTTTTTCTACCACCGCCACGCCGGTGCGGGCGGCTCTCTCACCGAGGCCCTGCCGCGCCACGTCCACCACTGGGCCGGGCCGAGCAACCTCGCTCGGTTCTCGTACCCGCCGCCGCACTCGGGGCAGGGCGAGTCGTCGGCCGACGGTTTGTCCTTCGCGCCGGCTCTGAGCCGAGCGGGCTCCGGCGGGCAAATAGAACGCAGCTCCAGCGGGGAATCCCACCTGGCCGTCGCCGAGTGCCGCACGTCGAGCGAAGATTCGCACTCCGCGGAAACGTACGCCGGCGCTTCTCCCGGGGAGTCCGCTGCCGGTCAGGCGCTCCTGGCGTTTCGGCACGGCGTGGCGCCGCACGCCCACGTGATGTCGCATCGCCACCACCACCAGCAGCAGCAGCAGCAACAGCAGCAACCGTCGCGTCCTGCAACGCCTCCGCCGCCCCTTGGCTGGTACGGCGGCTACAGCCCGCGGGCCGCGTCACCGCAGCCGCCTCTCCTCGCCTTCCCCGGCTCTCCCCAGCGGCCAACCGGACCCGGCGGCGTCCAGCAGCAGCCGCCGCCGCTGGATTTCCGCACCTCGCCGGAACAATTTTACAGCCACCAGCAGCTCCTGCAGTTGAGGCAGCAGGACGGCGGGCACGGCGCCCCGTGCCCGTCTCCCGACTGGCAGCGGCCGGACTACGGCTTCCGGTCCGACCTGGCGGGCGCCCCGCAGCAGGAGGCTTTCTACGGACAGCACGGAGCCGCGGCGATGCCCTCCGCGATGCCGACGGCGTCCCTTGACTTTCGCTTCCCCGCCCTCACGCCGGGCTTTGACGCGCGGCCGCCGGCGCGGCCAGGGCCCCCAGTGGGCCGCGCACCTCCCGCCGTGCCCCAGTCGGCACCCCCCCTTCAAGACGGTGGCAGCGGCGGCGCTCAGTCGGCCTTCCCCTTCTTCTCCTCCTCGACTCCGTCGCGCAAGTCCAGCGACGTCGGCTCGCTCGGCTCGTTGGAAAATGCGACGTGTGGCTCGCTCGAGGGCTGGCCGTCGCCCGTCGTCGCGCCCCTCGGGCTGGAATACGAAGTGGCGTTTGGCTTCACCGATGCCAGACCTCCTCTCCGTCTGCAGCAGCAGCTGCTGACTTCGCCAGCATTCCCCTCCGCGGTCCTCCAGGTGTTCTCGCGAAACAAGAAAGCGTGCGCGGCGCAACGGACCGATAAATAAATTCAAAACACACGCTTGCGTGACCGAGTCCACGTACTCCGCGTAGCACGTGCGCAAAAGCAGCTGTGGCGGGTCTGGCCCTGCCCCCAGCAGCGTTGCGTTCTGCACCGGAGCCTTCGCGTTGATCTCAAGCGTGGAGTCAACCAACGTGTCGGAGACGTTTCCCTGTTTCTCGACGACGATTATTATTATTATTGCTACAGACCATCGCGGGTCATTCCCTAAAGCCTCAGTACTAAGTGTGAGATGTATTTCTTTTACGTAAAAGGTGGCATTTTATTTGTTTCGTTTTAGGCCTTGGCAGCACCCACAGAGATCACCGATTCAAATATTCTCTGGGATAGCCGTCCCAGGCTGCAGGATATGCCCATCAGTGACATCTGTGGGGGTTGCTGCTGGGCCGTAAAACAACAAAAAGCATTGCATGGGGCTCGTTGTTAGATAAATGCAAAACGTTCGAAATTAAAAGACGAGCAGGGTGTGGGGCGGGAGGCTCCAGATCTACGGCAACCCATCGAATGTCCGTCAAATGTAAATCGCGCTGAGCAGGTTCCGCTGTGCCAGGCCTCCCATGAGCCACGTGGCCCATGAGGACGCAAGGTGACTGCCGCCCAGCCACCTTACCGGCAAAGAGTCGATATTGACCGCCCGCGTGTGTACCGTACGCACGCGTGTTGTCGAAGCCTGCAGCAAATAGGGGACCCACGATCGTCACAGAAAAATAATAGGGTTTGGCGGGGGGGGGAGGTTTCTATGTCTCTAGTGCCACATCAAGGGCCACGACCTTTGCCCTCGCTGCGCATCGCATCCGTTGGGTCACCCCACAACGCATGGCGCCCTTCGTTTCACGTTTATTCATCGGTCTGTTGCACGGTGTCTCCATCAACTCCGTCTCCGTAGCACGGGGGGGGGGGGCTGGGCAAGGGGGGGGGGCTCTAGATGGGGACCTAGCCCCCATACCCCCCCGCCCCTCGCTATCACGTGGCACGAGTGCGTTGCGGGCGGTCCGCCCCCGTTCGCCATAACTTACGGCTTTTCCCCTCTCTCCCACGGTAGTCGGAACAGTCCTTGCCGAGCCCATCGCAGGAGGAGCTTCCGTCCGTCTTTGGCACGACCTCTCCGCAGGCCGTGCAGCAGGTGAGGCCACCGCTCCGCTGGGGCAGCGGCACGAGACTTCGCAGCACGGCGGCAGACCGCGCCGGGCTGTGCCTGGACCAGGGGGCCTCGATTTGTGGGAAAAATGCTCTGGAGGTTAGGTTTAAAGCTTTCGTGACTGCAGGGATTCATATTCTTTGTTCTTTTGGTAAAGTCATGTAGAAGGGAAGTAATAAAATAATGAAAATAAAACATTTTATTTTTTTATAATATAATATTTTATTATGTTTTATTTTCATTATTTCCCTTCTACGTGACTTTACCGAAAGAACCAAGAATATAATGCTCTGGAGGTTAGGTTTTTTTTGCCTTGAGGCTGGCAGGCCTACTACGGTCACAGTCGAGTCATGAATATCAGAGGACAACATGGATCATGGGTCACAAAGTAAAGTATCAGAGCCGTAGTGAATCGTCAGTGACTGCGCGCGTGTATATAAGGAACGAAACAGATAGACTTCTCCACAATCTCCACAAATCTGGCTGTCGCCTGATGAAGCTAGTTGTAATTACTAGCGAAACATCTTACTCAGATTGTAAATGTTGTGGCTTGGCTCCCCAACACACCGGTTAGTGCTGTACTAGTGACGAATTGGCCACGTTCTGTTTACGTGACAACCCTTACTAGTTGGCCATGTCGGGTGGTGGCGGGTTTTATCGACGCATTTATACATTTACGCGCTCTAACCCAAGAAGCCTCCATTATGTGCGCGTGTGTTATGAGCCTTCTTGGTTCTTTCGGTAAAGTCACGTAGAAGGGACAGACCTGTTCTTCACCTGAGGACGGCTGCTTGCGTTGTGGCCGAAACGTCGTGAGAATTGTATTTTATTATTTATTATTATTGTATTATTTCCCTTCTACGTGACTTTACCGAAAGAACCAAGAAGATGAATCCCTGCAGTCATGAAAGCTTTAAATCGAAATGTGTTATGAGTGCCGCACATCGTAATGATCGGCAGGCTTGTGATGGAACCTGCGGTTGAAGAACCGTGCAGGAATCTTTATTCGCACCGGAGTTACAGCGAAGCAAATGAGCGATTCGGTAAATATGTGAGGTGCAGTTATAAAGTCACGGGAATCTGTTGCCATGATCGCTTGCGCATCTCATCGTGAAACGTTTCGATCCTAGTCAACACCGAGCGTAGCTCACAGACTGCGGCCGGCGTTCCTATTTTCTCGGATCACTGGATCTGCGAGCAGCAGCCTTGCGGCCCGGTGGATGCCCCAGAAACCTTTGCGACGGAGCCGAGTCCAGGGGCCCAGGAGCTCATCACGTCCCCTCCGCTCGCCGGCACGCTGGCTGATGGCCTCACGTCGCCACCAAGTTGGTCGCCGGCAAAACAAGAGGTAGGTACGGCGTCCATGCACGCGTGTTACGTAGCCAACCGCGCTTATCGGCTGCTGCGGTGGGAACGACAACAAACGAAACGTAAAAAGTTTTATATCTAGGTGATGTAAAAGTGCACAGCTCCAGTGGTTACCTAATATCGGTGTCTTATGTCGAGATGAGGTGGGAATATATGAATGTATAGGTAAACATAGATCATGTGAGGATATTTTAAGTAATTTTTTTTCTTTTAATTATTTTTAAGAGTGTATATATGTTGTTTGTCTCTTAACTGTGATTAATAAAATATGTTATTCACTCAGGCAACTGGAAAGATTTTGCCCAATCCTCACCAACCGGCTCAAAAACTTAATAAACTAAAAGTATCCACATTGGTGATATCGATTCTTAAGATTTCACAAACATTGCTCAACATAATAATGATGAATGTCGTGTCCTAGAAACCACAATTAGAGTATGATTGACCTGCACTGCTCCACTTTAGTTTCCGACCAAAGCGGCACACTCTCAGCAATCGCAATTTCGACGGTGCCGTTTGTTGCTGACCGCTGAACGTTTTGGCCCTGCTTGGTCCGATTCTCAGCAAATGCGTTATAAAAACTACTGTCAATAATAATAATTGAAATTTATTTTTAAGGTACCTTCCACTAATGTCTCAGGGCGCCTTGTAAGATTAAGAAGGCCAAGAGAGACGGAGAAGCTAAATAGGATAAAGTGACTTAAGAAGATGTGGCTTAAGACGAGACTTATTGGATGACCGAATTTACAACGGTCGAGAATTCCGCAGCCACATCCGTCAAAAGACGAACGCAGAATCGGAATTAGATCGGAGAAATCCGATGAGCTACGAAGCTCTATCTAACATTCATTCATTGCGCGCACAGTCAGCGAAGGAGCGCTGCGCCAAACGTGCGTGACCTCTCGCGACAGCGTTCGCGTAGCCTGCTCTTGGCTGCCGTACACACGGCGTCTCAATCACAGTGGGTGGGGGTGGGGGGGTGACCTCTGGGGTGCGGCGCCATCCCCTAGAGGGTGGCGGTCCACTTCGGAACGTCGGCCGCCAACTGAAGTGAGCGCAACTTACAGGTGTCCAGCGAGGGCGTTGTCGGGTACCGTAGTTCCGCGCTCTCCGCCACGCGCGATTAAGCGAACTCCGCTTTGCCCCGTCGTGCCTTTTCAGACCCGGACGCGGAGCTTCAGCGAAACGATCCCCGTTCTGCAGCACATGCAGCTCTTCCCCTCGTTCGACAGGTGAGACCTGCGGTGGCGCGGGCCCCATCCCGGGGGGGGGGTGGGGTTCGCTCCCCGGTTGGGTTCCGTGCCGCGACCGTTGCACGCGGTGCACGCTGAACCTCTTCCCGCACCGCACGTAGCGATGGACAAGCTCCTGCGTGACTTCGTTTTGTCACAGTTGTGGGATATAATTAAGTTCGCTCCACATCTGTTTTAGCAGCGCAGTAGTGTACTGTTAGAATGCGGAGTATGGGTACGTAGAGTGGGCAGCGGTCGCGCAGTGGTTAGCACAACCGCGCTACGAACCCGGCCACCCGAGTTCGATTCCCGCTCACGACCAATACCGGTGAAGATTATCTGAACCGGTCTTGAGCCTCCCCTAGGTCGACTCAGCTTCAAATGAGTACCTGGTGCAGTGTGCAAACATCCCCTTAAGGGAGATAAAGGCGGCCGGACGTTGGTGTTGGCTGCCCACCCCCTTCGTGTGCTGTGCCGGCCTTCATCGGTGCTCTCTAACAGCTCTTGCCCCAACAGTCTGTTAAAGGCTATACGGGGGACCTTTGTCTTTGTTGCCGGGGGGGGCAGCACGCACTCGGACGCGGCATCGGGCGTGGAGATGAGCGACGGCTACGAGTGGCCCCCGGGCGGCGACGAGGACAGGAGGGCGACCCGCAGGCCGCGCCGGCGGCCCACGCGAACCCGCTCGCGCCACGACAAGACCACGCGGCCCAAGCTCCAGATCCTCTCTGTGAGTCCACCGTCGATGGGGGTGGGGGGGGGGGGCGTGGGGGGGGCGGGGCAGTCCCCGAGGGCAGGCCATCCCACAGCACCGTCGGCCGTGGGTTTGAGCCCCCAGTCGCAAAGCGGCGGCGGAGCGAGCGAGTCGACGTCTGCCGCGCGTTAACGCTCGGGGGTTGTTGACTCAGCTCGTCGTTCCTTTCCGGGTCGATTAAAACGAGCACCACTCGGTGGGGAGGTCACCGGCGGTTCAAACGGACTTCCATTCACGTGAAGGCGGGCGTGAATTATCTTTTGAAATTAATTCATGACTATTTTTTTTTGTAAGATCACAGGCGTTTCCTTTCCATTCACCAGCGTTGTCTGGAAATGAAGGAGAACAAAGTTAGATGTCAACGATGGCAACGGATAAAACATCAACTTAAACAAATCGAAACGTTTTAATGCCAGCGTTTAAAACAACAAACGTTACAACCCCGCGTCTCGAGAACTTTTGTGCCGCGCCCGTACATCTGCACGCGTGGCATCATGGCGACTCAGAGGAGTGGGGGGGAGAGGTGGCGTCCGTCGTGTTAAAGTTCCCCCACCCCTCGCGAGCGCCGGCGAGCGGCTCCAGACAGCGGCTGAGCGGTCGCGGGACCGTTGTTGCAGGTGTCCAACAGCGGCGACAAGGAGGTGGAGTGCCAAATGGAGACGCACAACCACAAGAAGGTGACCTTCAAGTTTGACCTGGACGGAGACGTACCCGAGGACATCGCGCACCACATGGTACGTGCGTGCTGTTCGCCGCCGCGATCGTCGTAGTTGCCGACGCCGCTGCCTTGCACGATCCATCAATCGATTGAGCCGCGGCTGGGTTAGAGCTGCCTCCCCACGTCGTCGCACGGGTCACACTTTACAGGTCACGGGGTCACAGGCCACAGGTTACAGGTCATGGGTCACATGTTACAGGTCACGGGTCACAGATCACTAGTTACAGGTCCTGGGTCACAGGTCACAGGTTATAGAGGTCACGGGTCACGGGTTACGTGATGGGCGAGGGGGTTGTTTGACCGTATGTCACCACCGCTGGTGAGTGCACGTTGGATTACTCTCCAACTCACTGCTTTTTCCCTCCGCATTTAGAATCGGCATCACGCCTTTATAGTATTTGTGTATAGCTATCAACATTAAAAACAATGTTTATAGTTTAGTTTGGATTTCGGGAGGCGACGAGCTTCACACCGACCGTTACATTTCAACTCTCGACCCCCAACCCCCACCCCCCCCAACCCCCACCCCAGGTGGAAAACGACTTCATCCTGAAGAATGAGCTCGAGGCTTTCGTGGAGCAGATCCGGGACATCATCGAGCGCGCCGCCGTGATGCTCGGAGACTTGGGGACCGGCCAGGGATCCGCCGCGGCGAGGGGCGGAGCGGAGGCGGGCGGGTGCAAGGTTGGCGCACCGCACGTCAGCGCACCGCGCACAGACGGCGTCTCTGCTCGGACTCGCGGTGTCTCTGCTCGGACTCGCGGTGTCTCTGCTCGGACTCGTGGTGTCTCTGCTCGGCGTCGCGGTGTCTCGGCCACGCACGCCACGTGAACGCGCCGTACTGAAACGGATGGCCCCGGTCTCCTTTTGTCGACCCTCTGACCCAATCTCATTTTTTCTACCCATCAGTTTTTGATTTCCCACTGCCTTCTGTCATTACCTCTGTGTCCTCTTTCCCTTCTCTGTCGTCGAGATCATAACTGGGACGTTTCTATGCACACGGACACCGTGTACCCTGGTTCTGAGTTATCCAGTAGCCGCTGTTGTTGTTGTTGTGGTTGTTTAAAAAAACTATGTAAAGAAAGTTCGGTCGCACAAGAGAGGGCTTTGCGCTTCTGTGCCTGAACCCGGCTGTCTTTTCTTTCGTACAGGATTCCGAACAGGACAGAGCTCCAGCGCCAGGTAAAGAATGTCACCGGTCAGACCCTGCACGCAGTTCGCCTCTTTACGCCTTCGCGGCCGGTAAAGTGAGAGTTGCGCCGGCTCGCGCGGGAGCTCGACGGCGTCTGTCGGATTCTCGCCGCAGGTGCCAACGCGGACACGACGGTGGTGCACGCCGGGGGCCGCCGCTTCTTTGTGAGCCCCGTGGTGGAACCGGCGGCGACGACGCCAACGGCCGAGGAGCAGACGGACGCCCCGGCGTCCGGAACGGCCACCCGGCCCGGTAAGACGGGGACGCACACGTTGGCATTCCCGGCGGCGTGAGCCAGGTTTGCCGGCCGGCTCAGTCGGCTCGCGATTCAGGAGACCGAATGTTCAGGGAGGCTCAACCCGACCTGCCTTCCATTTACACAGCCCAGCCCAGAGCAATAGGCCCCTGCCGATTGCTCGTAGGCCGCACCTACTCCTGCCAGCCCCACCCACTACCCAGGGAGCCCCGTCCACTACCCAGGGAGCTAAGCACTGCGCCACCGCTCCATTCCCTGACTGAGTGAGAAACATCCCCAGCTGTGTCTTGACCTGCGCACGGCTTCCTGTGCGTCCACACAGGAGGAGCGTGGGAGCAGCAGGGCACAGCGACGCCCCCTCGTCGCGCCCTCACCACTGACCCGTCCCCTCTCGCGGCGGCCGCGGCGCCGACGGCGGCCGAGGCGACGTCGCCGCCCGCGGCGCCGTCGTCGGCGGGGCCGACCCCGGCCGCGGCCTCCGCCAGCACCGCCACGACGCCCGGCGGCGGCGCCTTCTCTCCCGCATCGGGCGACGCCGACGGGGAGGGCCCGGCGCGGGGGGCCGGGAGCCTCGCCAACGACGACATCCGCTCGCTGGACGAGAAGCTGCGCTGCCTCTTCCAGGAGCAGCACGTGTGCGGCGGCGAGCAATCGGACGGCGCCGCCTCTCCCAGCCGCGTCGCATCGCCCGCCCGGGCTTCGTCCGTCGTCTCCCCGTCGTCCCCGGCGCCCGGCCCCGTGGGGCCGCCCGGCAGCGTGGGCTCGCCGGCGAGCTCACGCCGCGCGGAGGGAGTCGTCACGCCGCTGGCGCTCACGGTCCTCGGCAGCCCCAAGCAGCGCCGGCCGGGGGTGTCGCGCATGCCGGTGAGCGTCGGAGGGAGCGGACGGTCGTCGTTTTGTGTTTTTAATGAGGTGGAAGCGCAGCCGATTTGTCGCTCGCTCGTGCCACTGCTGGAGGAAAGGCCTCCATGAGGGCGAACTCCGGACGGGATTCGGCCGACTCTTTCACGTGGTTCACCAGAAGTGTTGGAAGACGTCCGAGTACCCACACTTTACCCCACCACGGGCGACAGAATCGGAAGGGGTTTAAGCAACTCAGCCCCGTTGTTTCAACTGCCGCTAACCATGACACCACGGCAGGTCTTCATTTTGCGGTGTAGTGGTCCAGCGGTAGCGTGATTTGCGCTCGATTCACGGTTCGAATCCACCAGCCGCCCCGGTTAATACCGCGCGGTGTAATAGCCACAATGAGATTACGTGGCATCTGTTTCACAGCGGACGTTAAAGGTACCGTGGCGCCATCCGCAAGAGTAGGTCACCGTGCGCCAGAAATCATTTTGCAAATTCGCCATACTTGAAAATGCATTGAGTTGGAATTGATGTCACGATCATCACGCCCGACTCTGAAAACAGTCACGAGACATAATGCGGCTTTCCTGGGTATAATAAAAAAATAATCTCACTGAATAGTTTCCCGGTCGCCGGTTAAGAGCGAAAGATCGTCACCATGCACCGATTCGTCACTCGAAATGTATTTGTCCGCTTGCGACAACGCGTATCAAATTGTGCGTGAGAAACGATTCACGTTCCGCTACGGGCTCGCGTGATCCTCGCACGACGCAGGGGGGGTGGCTCTGGACTTGACCTGTGGGTGTAACGATCGTGTGTGGTGCAGAGTCAAGACTCGGAGCGAGGGAGTGACCGGTGCAACACTCCACCCGCGTCGCTCCCATTGAGCATGGGTAAGGAAGGTGGACACCACCACCGCCACCACTATCACTGCCACCGCCACTGCCACCGCCACCTCCATCACCGCCACCGCCACCGCAACCGCCACCACCCCCGCCACCACTGCCACCACCACCACTCCCGCCATCGCCACCACCGCCATCGCCACCACCCCCGCCACCACTGCCGCCGCACACTGACACACGCCCCGCGCTGAAGGTGGATCATTCAATGGAACAATAATAATAATACCATTTCAACTTGTAACCCACCACCGCTGCACCGTATTCGCTCGCTCTCAAAGCGAGAGGACGACTCGGAAGCACGAGGGAGGAAACCGGAGCACCCCGGAGAAACCCCGCGGGTGCGAGAGGGAAACGCTCGATCCCACACAGACGTAACAGGCGGAGTCTACATTTCTTTTGCCGTACCGCCTTCTCCTAGCGAGCCAGGGTCACGGGCTCCTCCTCGACGCCCGCGGGAAGGGAACCTGGCAACGTCTCTCTGTGTGTGCGGTGATCCACCAGCCCTCCCTGCTGCTGCCACAGCAGCGATGGACTTACGGGCGGCCACGTGCGGCAGCTAGGCCGCCATGGCCCGGCACAATATGGATTTGACCCAAACTCGGTTCGCGGGAACGTGCGGCGTTTTGTCGATCCGCCGCTTGATAATGACGGCCGCTCCGGCTCGCAGTGTGTGCTGGGTCGTGCGCGGATTATCCGACCGTACTTTGCCACGCCGCTCAGTGCAGGGTGGTAGAGTCAGGGAGAATATACTAAAAAATATATATACTTTACCAGGTAAGGCCCATTGAGCTGTATTGCTTTTTCAGAAGCCACCTGGCCACAAATAATAGCTCAACAAAGTAGTTTATTGTGCGGAAATTTATAGCAGCCAAATACTCTAAAACGTGTGACGTTGATTCTAAATGTGAAGGGTAAAACCGGAGGACCCGGAGAAAAATCCACGCGACCACGGAGAGAACTTGCAAACTCCAAAATATACAGCAGCAGGCGTCAGGGTCTGGATCAAACCCACGGTCTCCTGCATACCAGGCGAGGTAGTTAACATCTCGCTACCTGCGGCGCTTCAAACACGGGAGCATAGCGAGATGCAAATCTTCACTGTTCCCCTCTGCTGCCCGCCAAGTAGCTCGGAAGCCCCATGACCGCCTGTTTGCGTGTGGTGATCACCAATCCGAGCACTTTCACGGCTCAACTCTGCTTAGCTGCTAGTGGCGGGGGGGGGGCATAGTCGGATGATTTGGTCGCAGGCCATTGCGATGTAAAATTCGGAGGGGAAAAAGCCACAAGTGCCGTGGAACTGCCCTAACTCCCGACCGACGTTTGTCTGCTTTTCTCGCGAATCTCAGTGGCGCAGCCGTCGCCCGGCAAGGACCCCGGCGAGACAAAGGAGCAGGGCTTCAAGAAAGGGAGATTCCAGGTACGAGCCGGGAACAACAACAAAAAACTCCGCACGCTTACAAAGACAAAGATTTCCCTTGTAGCCTCAGCAGGCCGTAGGGGCAAGTGCTGTTAGCGAGCAGCAGCACCTGTGAAGCCCAACACGGCACACGAGGGGGTGGGGGGCCAGCACCACGCCCGGCCGCCTTTGTCTCCCCAGTGGTGGTGTGTTTACACACCACACCAGGTGCCGATTTGAGGCCGGGTCGACCTAGGGGAGTCCCAGGACTAGTTCAGATAATCGTCGATGGTTTTAGGAATCGTCGATGGAATCGTCGATGGTGTTCAGTGGAAAGCGAACTCAGGTCACCAAGTTCATAGCGCAGCGCACTAACCACTGCACCACCCCTCCCAGCACATACAAAGACAAAGATCCCCCGTATAGTCTTTACAAGACGATTGCGGAAAGTGCTGAAGGCCAGCAAGACACACGAGGGGGTGGGTGACTAGTACCACGCCTGGCCGCCTTTGTCTCCCTATTGGTGATGATTACACACCGCACCAGTTACTTATTTGAGGCCGAGTTGACCTAGGGGATGCTCGTGACCGGTTCAGATAATCGCTAACCGCAACACCACCGCTTCCCAAGTACATACACAAACGCACACACAACAACAGCCATCAAAACACGGGTTAGGTGCACTTTGAGTGTCAAAGGCTCGCTGGCAGGAGGTAATGGGACAGAACCAGGTGTCATGGGTTCTGGGTCTGCGTCAAGCCATAACACGCACGCACACACACACACATGCACACGTGTGAGCAATCTGCATTGGCGAGATCAAACTCACGCAAGCTCTTGACGCAGCATCGCGACCTGCGTGCACAAGGCACGTGACCTCACGTCACTCGCCCGTCCCTCGCGACGCTGACAAGACGAGTGCGCAGGTTGCGCAGTGGCGCCGTCGCACCACCGCCCGCCCCCCGCACGTGCACACGCCCATTGTGCAATCGGTCTCCCGCAGGTCTGCCTGACGTCTGCGAAGGATTTAATCGGGGCCCGTTCGGACAGCGTCGGAGAGTCGACTCCCGCGAGCCCCCTCGGCGTCGACACGGGCGACAAACGCAGCTTCGCCGCCGCCGCCACCTCCGCTCAATCCGCCGCAATGCATTCTGGGAGCTCGGATATACGGGCTGAGGCGGTGCCGGGTTCGCCGGCGAAGCGCTCGGTGATCGGGCGCTTCCAGGTCACGTCGGCGAGCGAGGCCGCCGCCGCCACGCTGGGCCGATTCCTCGTCACCAAGGCGACCGACCGGGGCTCGCTCGCCTCCTCCGGCGGGGCGCCCCACGAGGCCTCGCCGCCGCAGGCCACGTCCCGAGACTCGGGGGTCGAGAGTTGGCCTCCCGCCACGCCGGCCCCGGCGCTCGCCTCCTCCGGCCTCGCCTCCGCGCGCGGCGAAACCGACGGCGGCGGGAGAGCGGCGGCGCTCGAAGCGGACGGCGTCCCCCAAACCGAGCGGCCGCCGGCGCCGGCGGCGGCCGTGTCGGCGTCGGCGGCGGAGGCCGCGTCGTCGCGGGTCTCCTCCGGAGCGGAAGAGGTGAACGTCGGGCGGGCGGCGAAGCCGACGGCGGCGAGCGGAGGCGGCGTGCGCGGGTGGGCGGGCGCGGACGCCGAGTTGCCGGCAGAGGCGCCGTCCCCCTGGGCCGTGTGCCTGCGGTCGGCGCTGCCCGTGTGCCCAGTCGTCGTCGGTGGCGGCGGAGCGTCGTCGTCGCACGTGGCCACGGTGGCCGCGTACGGGAGCAGCGATAACGACTCGGAGGAGGCGGAGGACGACGAGCTCAAGATGGAGCTGAGCAGGCTGCGAGAAAAGTGAGCACGGCATCTGGGACCCTGGGCAAACTGCGTTCACGTTGCAAATTGCTGGGGTGATGTCACGTGGATACGAATCGCCAATTACTTAGAGCTCTGTAAGCACCCATGCCTCCCCTTGTCTCCAACTCGTTCACTCCCCTATTCTTCCCCACGTCTCCCCGATGTCTCCCCTTCTCTCTCCCTTCAACTGCCCCACGCCTCCCCTCATCTCCTCTTTCTCCCATGCCGCATACGCTCCCCCCCCCTCCCTCCCCCCTCCCGTTGCCATCGCCCCAGACACCTGAAGGAGCTGGCGGAGCTGCAGGCCGCGCAGCGCCGCGAGATGGAGGAACTCTACCGCCGGCTGAACCGAGCGCCGCCGCAGCTGCTGCTGCAGCTCCACCCGCCGGCTGGGCGGCGCCGCAGGACCAGCAAGGGCCGCATCGCCCGTGCCTCCCGCGTGAGCACGGCACACGCCCTGCCAGGTACGAAGGCGACGCGCCTCGCGTGGTCCGCCGGTAGTTTCACGTCAGGGGGCACGGCAGGTATACTCTCGCTCCGCTGCTAGCCGAACAGGGTTGTCCGCCTTGACCACCCTGAATGTAAAGCTGTAAACTGGTAACGATATTTTTTATTTGACCAGGTAAGGCCGCTGAGCTGTTTGGAGCTCTTTTTCAGAAGCGACGTGGCTTTCACGAATGATAGCTCGACGAAGCGGCTTGTCGCGTCGACATTTATAGCGGCCAATTGCTCCCAAACGAATGTTTATGAATGTGGAGAGAAAAACCGGAGGACCCCGAGAAAAGTTAATGTGACTACGGGTAGAAAATGCAAACTCCAAATGTACAGCAGCCATCGGAGTCAGGATTGAACCCACGATCTCCTGTATACCAGGTGCGGCAGTTAACATCTAATTATCGCGGCGCTCCTGTATGCAGGAGGTCATGGGTTCGATCCCAACCCTGATGCCTCCTGTATATTTCTATTTTGTGTCCTCTCTCTCCCCGTGGTCGCGTCGTCCTCCGGTTTTTCCCTCCGCATTTAGAATCAACATCGCGGAGTTTGGGGTATCTGGCTGCCGATATAAAATTGCCACACGTTGAGCCACTTGGTTGAGCTGTCAATTGTGGCCAGCGACGCTTCTGAGAAAGAGCCGTGTGGCTCAGTGGGCCTTGCCTCGTAAAAATAAAAGTTTGGTTTAGTTTAGTTAGTTTAGAATGTGAAATTGTAGTTGTTGCTCCGCACCTACATCAGCCGTACGTTGTGTTGTTGTGTCCATAGTAAATGTAAAATGCGTCGTTAAGCCCGCCACCACACGACGCGGCCAATTATTGAGGTTTGTCATTTAACAAAATGTGCCCATTCAGTTACTCGCTCAGCGCACACCGATATGTGTTGGAGATTAAACCCACAACATTTACAATCTGAGTACCGTGATGACGTTTCGCTGGGGATTGCAACGATCTTCATCAGGCAATCGGCCAGAATTGTGTGCAATGGCAATTGTGTGTACGTTGAACTTCTTTCGCACCGTACTTAGCCATCCGCGCTCATCGAAAGATGCGGGGGAAGGACAACAAACTAAACACAAAAAGCAGTTCTACAGAAAAGAGTTTTCAATCGAGATTTAAAAGTGCACAGCTCCCAATGGCTTCTTAACATCCAGACGGCCGCAGAAGCGCATCTGAAAGCGCCGCACCATGCGGTGACGGTCTTCGTTCGCCGGTCCACTCTTTTTCGAGTGACGTCACGGCATCTTTGACGGCGCGGAGTACCCCAACGCCTGTGTCGGCACCGAAAGTATTAACCGGGGCAGCATGCCGAATTCGAACCGCGAAGCCCCTTCGACGAACGTCGACCCCACCCACCCACCCCGAAGACCTGGCCAGCCCGGACGACTGGAGCCACTCGTGTGACCCCCCCCCCGCCTTCCCGCAGGCATCTTCCAGCCGTCCTCTTCCTCCCAGCCCGCAGACGGCACGCGGCCCACTGGTGGTCATGGCCAGGCGGGGCCGCCACTGGGTCAGCCCGGCGGCGGCGGCGGCGCCATCACCGCCGCCAGCTTGGAGCCGCCGCGGCGAGCCGTGCGGCACTCCGTGTCGGTGGACACCCTCCACTTGGGGGGTTCTGGCGAGGGGCTTCCCCACCAGCCCATAGCAGGTACCGGTGCTGTTCGGCCGACGCAAGTGAGCGACGTGGGGGGGGGGGGGCGTGGGGGTTTAGTTCGGGGTGGCCGTGTCTTCGACGCTGGGGGGGGGGGGGGGGCAATCTCAGGACGCTGTGTTGGAACCGTGGGTCCATTTTACGCTGTTGGTTTGTTTGAAATTGTTGGAATTTGTCTTGATTTGTCAGCCCGGTTGCTTGGCTACATTTACGTCGAAACTTGTAGAGACTCGTAGAGACTTGTAGAGATATGTAGAGACTTGTAGAGATACAGAGAGACTATTTAAAGATACATCGAGACTCATAGAGATAAATAGAGACTCGCAGAGATACATAGAGACTCATAGAGATGCATAGACTCGTAGGAACACATACGTTCGTGTTTGTCCACTGCTATAAATGTCCACGTGGTTTGAGTTACCACTTGTCGCCAGGTCGCTTCTGAAAAACAGCCGTAGAGTGCAGTGGGCCTTACCTGGTAAAAGTTTCACTGGTCAGCACGCATTCGATAGAGATGACGGTGGCGTCGTGATTCTTGCTCTGTCTGCAATAGTCCTGTGCACGCTGCCCCGTCTGTACACTAACCTACGTCTGGCAAGTGCGCTCTGTCCGTCGGTCCGTCTTGTCCGCCTCTCCACCCACTGTGTACACCATTCCGTTTGTGAGCCGCGTTAAGCCAGCGTCCTCTTCCTTGTGCGTGCGTGTGTGTGTGCGCGTTGCGGGAGCGGTTCAATTCCCGTTCACGGCCAACGCCGGTGACGATTATCTGTACCGGTCCTGGGCCTCTGCTAGGTCGACTCAGCATCGAATGAGTTCCTTGGTGCTGTGTGTAAACATCGCCACTGGGGAGGCAAAAGTGGCTGGGCGTGGTGCTGGCCACCCACCCCCTTCACATGCCACAGTGCCGGTTTTCATAGTGTGCTCGCGAACAGCACTTGCCCTAACAGTCTGCTAAGGCTACACGGGGGATCTGTATCTTTGTGTGCGCGTTCTCACCCTCTCTCCCGACAATGCTTGCGCGACACGGAGGCTGGACCGTGTTCCATCGCGTCGGCGATCACGTCACGTACAAAACCAGCGGGCGCCCTCGCCCGCGGTTCCTCAGCGGACCCATCTCGCTCACTCTGTGTCCGTGTCCCACCTGCCCCACCTGCCCCGCCTGCCCCGCCGCCTCGCCTGCCCCCTATGCTCCACCCACCCCCTGCTCAACTTTCACGCCGCCCCGCCTGCCCCGCTTGACCCCCCGAACTTTGAGTTCTGAGCTTTGACCTTTTACCCCTGGCAGCCACCCAACAAGATGGTGGCGTCGCGGGACCTGGACAAACCTGCGGAAAAATAACGTTCAGTCCCTCGTTTAGGAGAAATCTTTGTCGATTGCATCGAACTTTAAGCGACCATGAGCCTTGTTTACGAATTCGGGCAGTGTAACCGACTTCACTCCATTCTTCGCGCGAAAATGCGTACAAAAAAAACGAAATTTGATCATTATATTTAACTCGCTGTGCGGTAATTGCTGGCATCAGTGAACTGTGGGTTTCCTCGCCCGATCGGGCAGATCTCTGGATCGGACGTAAGCCTTCCTCAGGTTTCCACAGACCCCCCCCGCCCCCCCTGCTGATCGCACAGTCGCGGCTTCTCCCTCGCTCGCATGCGGCACGGGAGTTTCCGGTGCATTCCGGGGTGACTTTGGCGTTAGGCCTCGGTGAATAACCGGCACCGAGCAGAGGGATCTCGGTGAATCGGGAAGCCAGCCAGCGCCGTGCCGGTATCAAAACCAAGAGAGCGTGGACCAAGAAGCCGGGTCCACCGGTCACACAACCAGATCGCTCGCAAAATCGCGTAACCTAATCGCCCGCGCAACTACTTTGCCGACATCTAAGCTCTTTAGTAGTTGCTCAAAGAGGATGTGTCTGTACTCTTTGGTTCTTTTGGTAAAGTCACGTAGGTATACCATAAAATAAATGTAATCACTACGTGGGTTTACCGAAAGAACCAAAGAGTATGGGATCCCTGCAGTCACGAAAACTTCAAACCTAGGGTGTGTCTGGCCACGCCCCTATACCACAGAGCCCCGCCCTTTTTTCTGGTTCCCCCACCCACATCAGGATTGTGACAGCCAATCACGAGTTCGCAAATGTGCACGTGATGCTACGGGTCTGCTCAGCAGATGGCCTGAGAGTGCAGAATCTATATCTGCCGTAGAGTCTGTTTCTATTCAACCGGTTGGGCAACCCGTTGCGGAGACGTCCACACATATATATATAAGCGATCGAGTTGCATGCAACCAAAGCGGCACAAAGGATCACTCAGGTGTGGCGAGATCCCTTGTCGATTAACCGCGCTCGTTACGCTCACCCTTTGACGTGCGCCGTCTCGATCGTTAGCCGCTCCTCACAGGTAAAATACGATTACGTCAGGAACCATTAAAAGCCAGACGACACACCACGTGTTCACCAGAGCTTTTGGGGCTTTCCGTAGCCTAATTTACACTATTTCTGCATGTCTGCTTGTGTTTGTATCGTTTGATGCAACGCCGTCCCTCCCCCCAACTTGACCCCCTGACCACTGGCGGAGCCAGTGGGGGGGCGAGGCACGTGCCCCCCCAATGATCTGATCGAAATCCCTAATTTCGATCGGATCCCTAATTTCGTTGGAATGGGGTTTATTAGTAATAAATCGGCATTTTGCGACCCCCACTGCCACTGTGTAGCATATTATTATGTGCCAGGGAATCTATTAGATGAGAGGACAATAGTCTATAATTGGCAATAAGCAATGGCAAAGCAGTTATAAGTGACTCACAGAATTGTGCGCAGTTGTGTATACAGTATACGACTTCCCTGAAGGCATTCACCTTCAGCGAGCACGATGCCGATCACACGACGCGGTTCGAATCCGCCCTCGATCGATGGCTGTGCCATCGCCGCACACGCGTCGAATAAAAAGCAAGGGACAAGTCCTTATTTACTAACAACTCCTCACTTACTAACAACTCCTTACTTACTAACAACTCCACTATCATTTTTCATTGCTGGAGGGGTTGCCCCCCCTACCTGAAAATCCTGGCTCTGCCATTGCCCCTGACCCCCCGTCCCAAGATGTCCGTGCAGCAGTTTATTGTTCACGCTATGAGGTGGCGGAGGAGCTGTAAAATGTTTAGGGGGAGCATGGGCAGAGTTTTCTTGGGTGGGGGGGGCATGGGGTGGAATTGCCCCCCCCCCGCCCCAAACTGGGCATCTTTATAAATTAATTTTCAGTCGTTTTACAATAAAGCTTAACAATAAATGTATTATTTTACATGCACCCGCGATTCCTAATGTGAGGGGCAAAGGTAACCTGCCTGCGCTCGAGTTCCCGTGGCTGCCCGGCCTCACTCCCGCTTCCCTTGATTCCGCGGCGCCAGGTCTGCCGCTCGCGGTTGCCTCTCCCTCGCTTGCGGTCGTTTTTTTTGTCGTTTTTACCTCCAAAGATGATTTTCGTTTGTTTTGTTTTGTGGGGCTTGAAAATGCTCCGCGGGAAAACGACAGTGGTCTTTAGCGACGCTCTTCAATTCGTGCCGGTTTGTTTTCATTTGCTTGTCTTTCGCTCGCGGCGCCTTCAGTTGCTACAATCCCCCGCGCGGGTTCGTGAAGGGCCATACAGAATTGTGCGTCGCCGTGGCTGGAGCGCCCAGCTCGCCAATTGTGCAGAAGGCCGAAGTCTCCCTTGGAGTAAGAGCTCCTACAGCTCAATGGGCTTTACACGGGGGTAATAAACTTCCGACTTTCGAATTCTGAGTTCAAATTCTGGCCCGAGTTTAGTAAAATGAGCAGCACTTTGTGGTGGTTGCCTTCCTACGGAGACGCTGGCCAGCACCACGGCAATTAGAGATGAGCACTAGCCAGGGGGCACCTGGGTTATTATGAAAGCTTCCCAGCAGAAAATGTAACACTAATAAGGGTTGACAATGCAGCGTCCTTAAATTTACAAATTGGACTTAAAGCAATTCAGGACACACTGCAAAATGAGGTATGAGCTAGGACTTGAAAGCACTTACCGTCCGTGTTGTTCAAGAAACGAGTCCGATTTAACATTCAAGGGTAGTTTTTCAACGCACGAGCGAGGCGATCTCGTTCCGTTTACTGGAGAGTATTATGTTGGAAAGAACGTTTTCTAAACTTCCGGCGATCGATACTGAGAAGTGACGGCTAACAGCTTGAGTGGTGACGACGGTTAAGGTGACCTGGCGGTGTTTGCCCACGCGAGCGACGGCTGGAATTTCTGCACCGCAGGGACCGGCATGGGAGGAGCGACGCACATCGCTCAGGTCGTCGGCTGCCTGCAACCACGCTTCCCGGAATCACCTTTGGCGACGACGCCCGCCGCTGCGAGGAACTTAACTGAACGTCCGCAGCAGCAGACTCCCGCCAACGCCGCGCCTGCCGAGCCCGCCTCTCAACCGAGCGCCGGGCCAGCTCAGCAGGCCGAATCCAGAGCCCCCGCTCACGTGCTGGGCAGAGCGAGCCAGCCCGCAACGCAGCAGAGCACCTCCGTTCATAACTCGCCAGGCCAGCGTGCCGTCGAGCTGGGCCAGAGCGTACAGCAGCAGCATCAGCAACAGCTTCAGCAGCATCAGCAGCAGCTTCAGCAGCATCAGCAGCAGCAACAGCATCAGCAGCAACAGCTTCAGCAGCAGCAGCTCCAGCAGCAGCAGCTTCAGCATCAACATCAGCAGCAGCAGCAACATCATCAGCAGCAGCAACATCAGCAGCAACAACAACAACATCAGCAGCAGCAGCTTCAACAACATCAGCAACAGCACCAACAGCAGCAGCAGCAGCTTCAGCAGCAGCAGCAAGGCATGGTACTAACGAATCAGCCAGCTCCACAATCCTACCCCACTACATCCACCAACAATAACAACAACAACACGGATCCTGCCACCAGCAGAACCGTCTCGGCTCAGCTGCCGCAGCAGCCTGGCAACACCGGACAGTATCCCCAGGGCTTCCGGCCGCCTCCGGCCTCTGCGCAGGTGAGTCCGCCGGTGCGACCCACGCAGCTCAGCTTGAGCGCCGCGCCCAGCCCGACCATCTTCATCCCCAACTGGTCGAGCGACCCGACCATCCACCGGCCCCTCGCCGGCCAGATGACCCCCCCACCGGCGTGCCAGCCCGCCGCTCAGGCGCCCGTGTCGCGGCAGCACAGCCTGCCTGCCGTAGGCCTCGGGGGAAACGGCGGCTCGCTGACGATGCCCAACGTCGCCAAGAAGACGACCTTCACGGACGACTTTCACCGTCTGCTTGACAACTGGGCGCGCGACGCAGTCGGGGTGTCCGGGATGCCGGGCAGCGGTAGCGGTGGCGGTGGCGGCGGCAGCGGTGGCGGGGCGAGTTTTGCCGGGGCCAGGCAGATTTGGCAGAGGACTGAGCAGCAGGGAGGAGCTGCCGCTGGTGGTGTTGCTGGGGCCGGCGGGGCGAGAGCAGGCCGGCTCGTCAGCGCTCCGAGCGTGCAGCAGAGGCAGCCGATGCATCAGCAGCCGGACGTGAGTAGCCGATTGGGCGGCGTGTTTGTAAATCTATGAACCGAGTTTTGAATGAGGGCAAAAGCTCACTTGCAACACTGCGATGTTACTACTCGCAAGCACTCACCAGAAGCCTTCCTTCTGGAAATTCACCTTTTCACGAATCGATAACTTTGGCTATGACGACAGGTTTCAGGAGCAGGCGTGACAGCATGCGAATGTCACCACGGTCTTCTAATGTTCCGCGCGTTCACCCTGTGCCTTTCCAGACGCCCCAGATGACGCGCAAGCTGTCCGTGCCGAGCCAGATGGGCGCCCCTGGCGCCACCCAGCCCGGCAGGCCTCTCACTCCACTGCAGGCTCCCATGTCCCCGGCCTACCCCATGCCGTACGGGGCAACGGCGCAACCGCACGCGGCTTACCACAGCACGTGGCACGGCCTGCCACCCTCAGTGGGGCTCCCACACTTCCAGCAGCCAGCGGCAACGATGGGCTATGGCATTCCCACGGCACCAGGCCTGCAGACGGCCATGACGCACGTGGCCACACAGCACAAGCCGGGCCTGGGCAGGGCTTCGCCTGGATTCTGAGGTCCTCCTTCCTTCCTGCGTGCGCGCACGTGCGTGTGTGTGCGTGCGCGGCGCTGTGTAGGTTCATAGTTTCAGCACGTGGCGGCGAAGGCAGGCGGTCGAGCAAAAGTTTTTATTATTTTCCTTGTGCACTTTAAACGTGGGCTGTGCAGTAATAGCAGGGCGGGGCAGGGTGGGAGGGGGGCCCAGGTTTGCGGGAGGCTGTAACGCCGATGACCGCGTAACAACGACTGCTCGACTGCGTCGTTCGAGCACCTTCCCGCGAATGTCGAGATTCCAATTGAAGCCAACGCCTCAACTCAGAATGAAACACGCCCGCCCGCCCCCCACCCTACCTTGCTTGAGTAAGTAGCCGAGACGATGTGGCTTCATTCACACGTTTGTTAAAAAATAAATAGCGGTTTACATAATCCTTTCTTGGGGGGGGGGGGGGGAGTGGGGAGAGCGAGCAGTTCACGAATGTCTATATCCCCTCCCCCCATCAAAAATTGGCTGAGAAGTAGTTTTTTGATGCAACACATGAAATATACCCCCTCAAGTGCGCTACCATTAATAAAAACATACATATAGGCCGTCTCCAACTTATATGTAACGCAAGCCCAAGACTGTGTGTGATTAATGGGGGTTGGGTTTTTTTGGGGATGCATATCAATGCAGAAACACATCAAGTTAACTCCGGGAACAAAGGCTGTGAATTTGGGTATTCTATTGCAAAAAGAAACATCACAAAAACACAGACAAAAGTATACGTGATATTATATATATATGGTAATGGGTACTAAAATCCTTAGCGAGAATATGCAATGAGATTGTGGTATTAAAACACGGCCAGGATAGAATGCGTGGGGCTTGTTTGTTTGTAAGCTGTTTATACCAAACTGTGAAAGGCTGCTGGGAGCCGCAATGCCCTGGATCGGTCTCGGTGGACAATCCCAGAATGCAGTGATTGGATGGCATTTGTGCCCTACAACAGGGCATCCAACCGGGCACCCACCACCGCTCTACCCCCACAAATGGCTGAATATATTCCAAAAGGCCTGTCATTAAAAGACGATGACATTGACAACTACACCTGCCTGGGCAAGACTGCGAGCCCATCACCTGCGCTCTAAATTTGCACGACAATGAGATTTAAATAAAGAAGATATATATGTGTGTGTGTAGAGGAGAGAGGATGCTGCTACTGTTTTTAAAATTAAGAGACATATTTCCTATTTAATGCTGCGGCCACTTCCGTGGAGCCGCATGCTTTTTTTGTTTTGTCAGACAACCAGTAACCGGTCCGGTCGTACAAAGCACCCCAGAGCGCATTGAATTTCATCTTCTCGTGTCACTCAAAGCGCGGCAAGCAGGAAAGGCCGTGTGGAGTGTGGCACAGGCGGTTAGCACGCCGCCCTGTGAACCCGGTGCACCCGAGTTCGATTCCTGGTCCCAGCCGAATACACTTTACTGAGTGATATCAGAACCGGGCCTTCCCTCAATCCGCCTGCATCAAACCGTGCTGACCAAGCATGGTGAAATAAAAAAAAAAACACATATAGGGTGGGATGAGCTTTATCTAATAGTGGATCGGGAATTGATGGAATTTATTAACACTTATTATTTATGAGAAGTAAAGACCCTCTTCCAGGTAGTTTTATACGACCGGCCGTTGGTACGGTATGAGGGAATGGTAAATGTCCTGGCTCTAACCGCTGTCCACAGAGCTTTAGGCCATGCTACATCGTGTGCCTTCCACATTTGTAATGCCAAATGTACACGCAGACGTGTTGACGAGTTAATGTCGCTTTTGTGAGCGCGCGTGCGAGCTTCGCGGGGGCTTGTTAGGTGTGCGTTAGTTTTAGGGGCTGCGTTTTACGATTTCACGTGGTAACATTTTCTGGGAAGTAATTATACGCCACGGTGTCAGCTCTCAGCCCATCATCTCTCTTATTAACGGGATCGGTTAAAATTGAGTACCGGACTGTGTTGTTGGATGTCTACAGGAGAAGTTGTCCTGATCCCCCCCGCCCCCCTCGACACTCGTTTAAATAAAGGGAACACGCAAATCGTTTTGGAAGGCCATCGCAGCTTTCGATTATTTTTCTCAACTCAGCCACCAAAGTTTAAAAGGGGAATTAACGATTCATAATTCACGTCGATCCCCAACTCTCCCCATCGTCGGTCGCCCCCTCTCTAACGATGGCTGTCCCGGGAAGTTTGCAATCGCAGTGCTAATTATGCACCACTCCCGTGCCAACGCCTTTACGAGCTGTTTCTCAACCTCTTCCGGTATCGTGGGATGTTCCTTCTTCTCACCATGATATCTCCCGAGTTGTTCGTCTGTGATCTGGGGGGCGGGGGGGGGGGTCACGGATAAAAATTCGATTATTTTGCCTCGCTCGTAGAATTCGTCGAGACGGTCAAAGTCGATGGAACGTCCACGTGCCACGTTTGCGCGACTCAAAAACGACCCCCATTCCCTGCACTCACAGATCCACGCGTGGTGCCATTGCGTGATAATTATTTTCATGATCGATCATTGCCGTATCCATTGCTCGCCTATTAGACAATAGCAATTCAATAATTGGACATACGAACGTCATTGGCGGCACACCGGTGCGCGGTATAAAGACAAGCACATTTTTCTCAATGATTATTTCTTTTCCCGCGATTCACGAACCTCGGTCAGAAACATGTGCGTCAAAGTCCGTTCTCGTGTTGATGTGCGAAGCAGTATGCGAGACGAATGGTACTGAGCAGCCGAACGCAAAGCTTCACAGTCTGTTGCCTTATAGCAGCACCCAGCCTGGTGACGATTGTCTGGCTCCGTGTTTCAAAGGCAAGATTTTATTTCTCGTGCCCGAGACCTGGTCGGAGGATTCCTCGATTCATTTCCAGAATCATTTATTGGCGGACGGTGGCATCCACCCGTGTCACACTTTCGAATGGTAAACCAGCTGCTGAATCATAAGGCAACTTGTTATGGAGAGTATTGCAGCTCACTCATGGGTAACGGCGACATTGTCAGGCAGTTTTATGAGGACCGGTGTGTTATGCCGCACCGGTGTTCCGCCAATACGTCCACATGATCGTACAAAACAAAACAAAAACTCGCATCACGAACCCCTTAGCGAGCGCGCCGATTTCGACCGTGCGAGCGAGCGCGCCGATTTCGAGAGCGATCTTCTTTTGCCCGCCGATCGTTCGGTTGTGGTGGATCCAATTACTCCACCACCTCCACCCCCGCGTCCACCCCTAGACAAGTTTGTTGTGGCGGTTTCGGGGGGGGGACCTACAACCGAGGTTGGAGAGCTCAAAGGAATGGGCGAGTGTGAGCAACGTTGCCCCGACTGTTGGGTGGGTGCCGGTCCGCGCAAGGGCATCTTAAATGCCGCGAGAGGCGATGGGTTTGGGTTATTGGCTCCTCGGCCCTTGTAAGAGAGGAATCGCGCGCCGTCGAATCGGAACGGCCGATAGCGCAAACGATGTCACCGTGCCTGTACTGCGGTCGCTTTTACCGTCAAAAGGTCGGTTCGGCTGTTGTGTGGCAGTCAACCAACTCGACAGACAGAGAGAGAGAGGTACAAAAAACGTTGAAACGTTGGAGAGAAAAAATGAAATCACCAAAAAAATCTATATCCCGACGCAGGGGAATTATAAATGCTTGCGTCTGCACACCATGCCTCGGAGACGTCGAGTCTTCTAATGCTGTTATCGCTAACGAGTGCCTCTTGTTTCACGGTGCAGGTTGGACATTGTTCACGTGCTCGTAGTATGTGTACGCCTGTGGTATTGATAGCACGCGCGTGTTTGTGTGTGGAGGTGAGCGGTGGCGCAGTGGTTAGCGCACTGCGCCACCGAGGTTGTATTCACGGCCACCACGGCTGACATCAGAGTGGCTGGCGGGCGATATCCGGAAGTTGTCCCGGTGCCTCGCTTTAGGTTGACTCAGCCAGAAAAAAATAATTAGAAACCCCAGTTAGCGGTGGTGCGTGTGCATCGGTGCTGGGAAGACAAAGGCGGCCGGGGCGTGGTACTGGCCACACCACCCCCTTTGCGTGCCGCACCGGCCTTAACAGGTGCTCGCTAACAGCACTTGCCCCCCCAGAGTTTGTAAGGCTAAAGAGGTTTGTTGTCGTTGGCGTGTTACAAAACAGGGTGGATCGAACAAGCTTATTGTGTCTGAACTGCGACTTTCAAAAACAAATGTTAAAGTGAATGTACGACTATTAATGAGAAAACCCCCACACGTTTATTATTTCTTGTTATTGTTCCCCGTTACTTCTCCCTTGTCCTTCTTTTCTTAACGCCGATATTATCAAGTAAGTATACGCTTTGTCGCGACCTGTTGTTAGTCGCGCAGTAATGCCGCGGCAGGAGAAAGCCAATGTCGGTATGATGGTCGTGTATAAACTGCTACAATATACAAAGCGTGAAGCTTATGGAGTCCAAGTGTTTATGATGTTTCGTTTTTTGTATCATGATCGAATGTGCATGTGTGTGTGTGTGCTGGTGTGTGTGTACGTGGGGAGCGGTAGTGTAGCGGTTAGCGCGCTGCACTACGAACTTGGCGACCTGGGTTCGATTCCCGCTCACGGCAAACACCAGTGACGATAATCTGAACCGGTCCAGGGCCTCCCCTAGGTCGACTCAGCCTCAAATTAGTACCTGGTGCGGTGTGTAAACATCGCCGCTAGAGAGACAAAGGCAGTCGGGCGTGGTGCTGGCCCACCCACCCCCTCGTGTACCGTTCCGGCATTCATAGGTGCTCGCTAACAACACTTGCCCCTACAGTCTCTTAAGGCTATACGGGGGATCTTTATCTTTGTGTGGCACAAAGTGAGGGATGACCCTGCTGAGGCTGCGGTGCCTCAAATATTGGAAGAAGGTCACCCCCTGTGAGTGGCTGGCTGAGGTGCCATCTGTTGAGGAAGTACTGAAGGCAATCCATAGTCTGAGACCAGGAAAGGCACCGGGCAGAGATGATCTCCCAAACAAATGCTGAGGGAGGGTGGCGTTTGTGCACAGACTGCCCTACATGACATCATAACAACAGTCTGGACCACTGGATGGTTTCCTTAGGACTGGAAGGATGCCCTGGTGGTCACCCTCTTTAAGAAGGGGGACCGCACAGACTGTAACAACTACAGGGGCATCTCACTCCTCAGTGTGCCGGGAAAGGTCCTGGCAAGGATTATCCAACATCGCCTTACTAGGCACGCTGAGTGTGCCGGGAAAGGTCCTGGCAAGGATTATCCAACATCGCCTTACTAGGCACGCTGAGGAGAGGCTCGCGGAGCCCCAATGCGGTTTCAGGAAAGGGCGGTTCGGCACGGATGACATTTTCTGTCCGACTGCTATAGCAGAGGTGTAGGGAATTCCAACAAGACCTACATCTCTGCTTTATTGACCTGGTGAAGGCCTATGATACCATCAGTAGGCCTGGGCTCTGGGTTGTTCTTCGTGCTTTCGGAGTCCCTGACCCTCTGCTCACGATCATTAAGGACCTTCATGATGGTGAGCGGGCCCAGGTAAAACTACGTGGCCGGGAGTCAGAGCCATTCCTTGTACACATTGGGGTGCGACAGGAATGTCCTCTGGGTCCCACATTATTTAACATCTATTTTGACCACGTAGTTCGTGAAGCCTTCAATAGCTGTACCGGAGGAATTTACATTTGGTACAGATACAAGTGGGAGGCTGATTAATGATCGGGTGCGGTCAAGGAATGGCTCCCTATTGCTCAACTACATTATGTATGCCAATGATCTGGTAATTGCTGCTCAGCTCAAAAGAGTTGGAGGCGCTGCTGCGCCATACGACAACAATGGAGAGCAGAGGAGCTATGCTCACAACAACGAGCAGAGCGCCGGATGGCTAAAGCACAGCAAGTTGGCACAGTAGGGGGCACAGGTGGTGCATCAGCCAGTCGTCTCAGTCGACCTGTGGCATCTGGATCTGCCCCATGACCTCCTGCCAGGGGGCGTTCGACACTTCACGTGGCCTCAACAGGCATAGCCTGGCACAAGCGTCGTGGTGACGTCACCGCCACTTAGTTGCGAATGGCGGTTGTGTGTAGGTGTGTGTCTTCGGGGAGCGGTAGCGTAGCAGTTAGCGCTGCACTACGAACCTGACGACCCGGGTTCGACTCCTGCTCACGGCCATCATCGGTGACAATTATCTGAACCGGTCCTGGGCCTCCCCTAGGTCGACCCGATCTCAAATGAGTACCTGGTGCCTTGTTTGTTCCGGTGAACATTTGTAAAACTACCCACGTTTTCTGGGAGGCTCAACGGTGACGCATCTGGCAGCCTCCCCTCCCCACTTTTTTTTTTACACGACCACACACCACTTGCCGCAGGAATGGCCCAGCCTGAGGCCCTCAGAGTGGCCCAGCATTGGGCCCTCAGAGTGGCCCAACCTGGGGCCCTCAAAAGTTTTTAACGAAGCTGCTGCAAAACTGTCCGCTAAGGGGCGCTGTTCTTTTTCGATTTAAAGCTTTCATGACTGCAGGGATTCATCTTCTTGGTTCTTTCGGTAAAGTCACGTAGAAGGGAAATAATAAAATAATAAAAATAAAACATAATAAAATACAATTCTCACGACGTTTCGGCCACAACGTAAGCAGCCGTCCTCAGGTGAATAACAGGTCTGTCGGGAAGATAGCGTCTGAATGAACACCACCAAAACGTCGTGAGAATTGTATTTTATTATGTTTATTTTATTAGTTCCCTTCTACGTGACTTTACCGAAAGAACCAAGAAGAGGGCGCTGTTCTATTGAAGTTCCCATAGAAATTGCCGCTTTCCCGCAATAACGGAACAAGAAACCGGATTTCCCCGGTATTGCAGCGGTAAGATTACAGCGAAATCTGCCCCACACAAAAAAAACTGTTCAAGTAACGTGAGAACGGTAAAATAGTAATCTCCCTTCAATCGGGAGCGCTGCTTTGATGGGATTTGGCATTAAACTGCTGTTTTAATGATGAAACTTTTCTTAAAGCAAAAAAGTGACTTATCTAAAAAAAACTATTAAATATTACCTAACCAACAAAATCGAGCTGTTTAACTCATTAAAACGCATGTACCCAGTGAAGTATGGTCAATAACCCCCGTGACACTGCCTGAGAAGGCCCTCGATCCAGCAGTGGATTGGCATAGGGACTGCAAATTCTCCAAACCGCAACCAGTTGCATCGCAGTGAAACGTTCCCCAACTATGGAAGTCTGCAAAATAATTTAAAGTTACTGCTAACATGATGTTTACGTCACTTAAAATGTGAATTCCCATCATGGATATCCCAGCGAGCAAACCGAAGACACCACCCCACCCACCCATTGTCCCACCTCGCTCCACTACCCGTGCTCTCTGCTCCAGCAGCCCGAGGAGGCCACCCTCTCTGTTTTTTTTACGATCAGAGGAAACAAGAAGATGCTCGGTGTAGTCGGCACTTTGCTTCGTTCATCATTTAGTTTTTTTGGGTTTTTTTTCAATGCTTTGCTTTATGTGCCACCCCCCCCCCCCCCTTTTTAAATGAAAGATTTCACAAAATATTTCACGCTCTGCTCTCCTCCTTCTTACCCCTTCCCTCTCTCTACCCCCTCTCTACCCCCTCTCTCTCTCTACCCCCTCTCTCCCTCCTCTATGTCTATGTTCCCCCTGTTTTCTATGTAAAAATTTTGACAAGTGCTGCATCTGCACCCAGCCCTTCTCGCAGTCATTCACACCTCCGTTAAGCTGCGCTCTAAATGGGGAAGGATCGCTCCTCCTTCTTCTCTGCTGCTCCCTCTGTCTGGAGCTCCCTTTCCACGACCGTCCGCACTGTTCAAGGCCCTTCCCGTGCCGTGGCTGAGACTGCAGCCCTTCCTCTCCCCCCCTGCCCGTGGCTCTCTCTGTCTCTGTGAAGCTCTCCGTGTCTCATCCCCTCTGTCGGTGCCGTCTCCTCCCCCTCTTCGCCTCTTCTCCCCGCGGCTGCCCTGGAGGCTCCGTGCCCCGTGCCCCCAGGGCAACCGCGCCCTCTCGCGTCTCGCCACGGAAGACGCAGCGGCCGCACTGAGTGAGAAGCTCCCTGAAGTCTAGATTTGACGCTTTCGTGACTGCAAGGATTCATATTCTTAGGTTTTTCGGTAAAGTTACGTAGGTAAAAAAATTTAAATTAATAAACCTGAAGACGGAAGCTTGTGTTGCCTCCGAAACGTCGTGATTTTTATTTTATTTTACTTTTATTAATTATAATTTTTTTACCTACGTGACTTTACCGAAAAAAACCTAAGAATATGACTCCCTGAAGTCCACAACGCCCCGTGGCCGAGAGTTTCACTGCGAAGTGTCGCCCTCTAGCGGGACAGGAGACGCGAGCGGCTAAGTTAAGAGCGAAGGGGTTGGATCCATAGTCTTGGTTCTTTCGGTAAAGTCACGTAGATAGAAAATGGAAATAAAATTTCAAGATGAATTAAAAGTAAAAGCTGAGGGTTGGATTCAGAGAAACCTCCCATAGACCGATAAGTTGAAATCTATGGGAGCCTTTAACATTAAAGTATATGGCAGTCTATAACATAGAAGTCTATGGGAGCCTTTAACATTTCAGTCTATGGGAGCATTTAACATTCAAGTCTATGGGAGCCTTTAACATTGACATAGAAGCCTAGGGTCCGATTTAACATTAAGTCTATTGGAACACACACGCACTGAATACACACACACATTGAATACACACACACACACTGAATACACACACACACACTGAATACACACACACACTGAATACACACACACACTGAAACACACACACACACTGAACACACACACACACTGAAAACACACACACACTGAACACACACACTGAACACACCCGCTGAACACACACACAGCCATTCCATACATTTAGCTCCTAGGAGAGCCTCAGTAAGACGAGAGTGTCGTTTTGCAGGAGGGTCCACGCGTCGTGATGGGTTGGCCAGGTCTCCCCGTGTCCGTTTCCGTCACACCTCAGAAACTAAGCAAGGTTTATGAGCCTTGGAAGACCAGTATTTACATTCCCTATATATAAACCACATGCGCGGTTTATACACCCACACACACACTGCTTGCTGTGTGTTTAGTTTGTTGTCCTTCCACCGCACCTCCGTTTAGCGTGGCTGGCTACGTACGGCGCGAAAGAAGTTCAACACACGTACATGCGGCGTGGCAGACGTTCAACATACATGCGGCACGTGCCGAGCGGTGGGGGTCATTGGGTCATTTTCAGCGCTCCCCAAAAAATAACAAATGTCTGTGCCTGTCACAGTGCACCACGGTCGCCCCACTGCATACGCGTTGTGTGTTACAAGGCAGTGCATCCAAATCCCATCGGCTTCCCCATAACTTCAACCCCACCACTACCCCCCCACCTTCCACCACAGTGACCAGGGGTGATGAAGTATGGTCAAATAGCCCTGC